CAGTTTCGCTGATCTTGGGTTTGTACATGAACTGTCACTGAAATACTGCTACACCTGCATTAATAGGAAATTGATGGCACAGGTATGTTTAAGGTGGAGATGGGCAAGCTCTTCCCCTCAAACCAGCCAACCACCAAGCCCTTTACCACTTATGAACTGAGGAGTCGCAGCTGTAGTGGTGGCTGTCCTATAAGTACAATAGGGGCAAGAAAGATCAGACACCTCTCCTCTCTGGTACACTCATCACAAGCACATGAAGAAAAACTGGAAAATGTACATTTTAGAAGACATCTGAAGGCAGCCCTGTTTAGGGAAGCTTTTAATGTTTAATAGATTATTGTATTTTAATATTCTGTTGGAAGCTGCCAAGAGTGGCTGGGGTATAAATAATAAATAATATTTTTTTATTATTATTATTATTATTATTATTATTATTATTATTATTATCATCATTATTATTATTATTACATTGGAAAATTTGTCCTTACAAAATGCATATTTCCCCTCAAAAGCCACCAGGAAATTAGTGGATTTCCCCTGAGACATACTAGGGCAGGGGTCGGCAAGGCTTACCGGGCATGGGCTGGATCACTCTCGCAGAGATCCTCCGTGGGCCGGGCCAGTGCAGCGTGACGCTGGAAATTGCGTCTGTGCATGTCTGTGGCACCAGAAATCGCTTCTGCGCATGCCCAGAAACTGGAAATTCTGCCTGCGCAGAAGCAATTTTTGGTGTCTGGGCATGTGCAAAAGCAATTTCTGGCACCACTGACTGTGCAGACATGATTTCCGGCATCTGGGTATGCATAGAAGCAATTTCCGGAGCCACGGAAGAGAGTCCCCGCACTGCACTGCACCGGTTTAGTGCAGCACGGGGGGAATCGCCAAGTGGGCTGCTTGGTTCGGGGGCGGCTTGTGGGCCAGTTAAATGGTCTCCATTGGCTGCTTCTGGCCCATGGGCCACAGGTTGGGGACCCCTGGACTAGGGCTTTTTCTCCTGGAACTCAGTAGCAGTGCTATTTTTCTAGAAACAAGAGGTACCAGAACTCACCAGGAATGCCTCCCTTGTTCTCTTATAATAGCAGTGGCGCCCACCTGAGAGGTGCCAAAAGTGAGTTCCGGTGAGTTCTGGCTGAAACAAAAAGCCCCCTGCTGCCCATTGAGGTCAGCTTTCTTTCAAGGGAATAAATGAGACATGGGCATGCTTCAAGGACTGTGTCCAATATAGGAGAGGCTAACCAAGTGGATATTTTAGGAGGTATTTACTGAGACTTTCCTCAGGCACCATAAGAGGTATTATTGGGCACACTGGCACCCATAGCCCCCACATTGGCACCCCCTGTGCTAAAGGAGCAAAATGTTGGCTCATGTAGATGCAAAAGAGTGGCTCTTTTATAAGAGTACTTGATGGCTGTCTGCATCTAATTGCTACATAACTCAGGATGCCATAAGGTGAACATAAAGGTAATGTTAATAAAAGCATCCAGGTGATAACAGGATGTCTAATGATGTGCATGAATCTGAAGGGAACGGAATGGGAAGGAACATTTTCAACTCAGGAGGAATTGTAGTCAATATTTTCCAAAAACCAACAGTAGGTAATTGCCTTATTAGAGTCTCCTGCTGCCATTTCCCTAGAAACAACAGCAACAAAACCACAAAAAGTAGATGAACAAGGGGCCTTTTCTGCAGAAGATCTGTGCAAAAATAACTGCAGGCCAAGCCAGTGTTGGATAGACTTGATTAGGATTTTTTTTTTAATGCCCCCTCCCTCAGCACAGTGACCACAGTGAACTGACCCCTCCCTCAACACAGTGACCTGGTAACATCAATTGTCCCTTGCAAAGAAGCTAGGAAAGAAAAGGGACAAGGACACCACCCTATGAACCTGCTCCTAGTAAGACTGAAAATTACTAGGAACAACAACAACAAAAAAAATGGATTAATCTGCCATCGTGCTTTTAACAGCAGGACAACGAAATTTACTTTAACCTGTGTCATCTTCACATGCTGTCAATAGCTTTAATTTATAAAAGTCCCATTGATTTCAATTTAAAAACTTAATATTTTTATTAATGGACTTCTAGTAAAATCTGTAGGGATTTGCATTGTCTAGTGGTGGCTGGATTGTGCCTTATTATTTTATTTTTATCTTCCTCAACAGTTGATGTAGCTAAGATGATCACTCAAGCACCCTCACAAACTTACAGTGTGAACCATGAGCTATTCATCCAAAAGTATAACATCTCAATTCCTCCTCTTTTTAAATTTTCCAGTCTGGGCTAAGTGGACCTTGAATAACACTCACATCTGTTGAACAGTTAAGGACTGGATGCATGTTTAAGTGAGCTCATTGATTAATGAAAATGATGGAGCCATTATAAGAGGATAAACAGCTTTGAAGTCACTATAATGGAGATTAAGATTTGGTAGGTAATGACCCAGCAAGTCAACACAATTTAGCTGGTGGAGACCTTTAAATGGATTACACAAAGGTTTACCTGCTCTTGATGTATTACAAATGACAGTGGGTAACTCTTCAAATGACAGACTACTTTAAAGTGTGTTTGGTTTCTGCGTGCATTTTAAGCTAAATTGTACAACCTGTGCATAGGGGAGTGGACAGCCTCAAAACTGGAGTAGAGTAATCATCAGGAGTGCCAACTTGGCCTCACGATTGTGGGTGCCTGGGGTTGTGGGTGCCATGCAACATGCATGACCCTGGCACTGAAATTTGTGGGTGCCTGAACCCTTCATGGGGAATGTTATGGGTGCTCAGGCACCCAGGGCCCCAGGGAGGTGGCACCTACGGTAATCATCAAACATATTATTAATACATGCTGACAAAGATTGGCAACTCCCCCCAACAACAATGCAAGAACAACAATATTGTTAGCAACAGGTAGCAGAGAAATAAGAGATCTGGCTGATAAAAAAAAATGGTTTAGACAAATTCATTGAGGATATGGCTATCAATGTCTAATTGAAGCCCCCCATTTAAAGGTACCCCTGCCCGACAGGGCCAGTCGTGACCGACTCTAGGGTTGCGAGCTCATCTCGCTCAAGAGGCCGGGAGCCGGCGCCATCTGAAGACACTTCCGGGTCACGTGGCCAGATTGACGAAGCTGCAACTGGCGAGCCAGCACCAGCGCAGCACACGGAAACGCCGTTTACCTTCCCGCTATAAAGCAGTACCTATTTATCTACTTGCACTTAGGGGTGCTTTCAAACTGCTAGGTGGGCAGGAGCTGGGACCGAACGACGGGAGCTCACCCCGCCACGGGGATTCGAACCGCCAACCATACGATCAGCAAGTCCTAGGCACTGAGGTTTTACCCACAGTGCCACCCGCATCCCATTTACTTTAACTCTTTATAGAGATGCTTGGGCTCTCTTCTACGTCAAATGAACACACATACAGAGGGAGGTGGTATCATGACAGCAGGCGTTTCTGCACAAGATAAGGAATTTTCCTTTCCAGGGTTATAGGTTGACCAGCAATGGTTCTATGCACCAAAGAATACACACTTGGCAGAGGCAAGGGCTGCCACTACTACATATTCATGTTCTGTAGAAAAGTGGGGACACCTGAAAAGGGCTTTATGTCTGAAGAGATCCTCTTTTGACCCAAGACTTTTCTCCACAGACAAAGAGACTGTCTTTTGATTTAGGAAGGAATTACAGGGTGCTTAGGGGGAAAAAAATAGAGCTAGCTGTAAGTGGCAGGTGTCACAAGCAATGTTGTCAACTAACCTATTAATCTATTAACTGATCTATTAATAACGTTCTCTCACATAGTCAGTACTAGGAACTGAAATAGTTCTGGGCTGAACATTTATCCAATCCCAGCCACCCTTCCCTGTCAATTAATGAGAAAAATGTTGGTTTTGGAAATTTTCAAAGGAGAGAGAGTGAAAATCAGTGAAATTGTCATATGTGAGGTATAGAGCATTCACTTTTGAGATGGCTGAAGGGTATTTGTAACTGTCCAGAGTGCTGAAAAATATACTTGAAAGAAAAATTTACACACAGCACCCTCAGCCACCTCACGATAGGGATAAGCAGATCTGTCCATTTCGTTTTTTCTAAGTTTTGCATTTTTCCAGTCTTAAAGCTTGTACTCCACATTTCCACACCAGTTTCTGGGCATTTTTTTGTTAAAGTGCTCACGAAAATTTATCAATGTATTTCTCTGAACATACACATGTTTGTGTGCAGTTTCCCCCTAATAAGCACATTTGTACAAAGTAATGTGTTTTATAATGCATTATAACACAGTTTTGTATGTTCTTTTCACCAATGTATGCATTTTAACAAATATTTTAGCCTTGATTGTTTGTACACATTACTTGGCTAGTGAAATGTGTTAGTATTTGTAATGTAATTTCATTGGAAATGTATTTCACAAGAATAAATGGTATTGGGGGAAGGAGGTGGCAGTTGGCAAATGGTAGTTGGCAGTTGGGAATTGGCAGTTGATTGGTTATTCTGTTAGTTCTATCTTGACTGCGAAGGTGAGATGTTTGGGAACTTCATGCAGACACTGTCAGGAGAAGTTTGAAAATAATACTTGTTGTTCAACTGTTACCAACCTGACAAGTAAAAAGATTTGTCTTCAACTATTTGTGTAAGACATATTTTTTTGTCATAAATAGTTTAAAAAGTACACTGTGAAATTTGGAGAAGTGCACATTTTGAAGGGTGACTATATTTCAGTCCATGTATGGTGTTGGAAAGTGTGAATTAGGTGAGGTCGCTTTTAAATAAAAATTGATTCCAGTTTCTCTTCCATCCCTACTTTCAAGTACTAAAGTAAGCTCAAGCTCCACACCCACTTAAATTCTAAAGAAATTCTAGTGTCCTGAGAATAAGGCACAAAAATTGAAGCTTTTTTCTCAGGGGTGAAAACCTCTGAGAAACTGGGGGACAGATTTTGGCACAGATCTGAAAAGCCAGTGAAACCTAAATCATCCCTGCCTTTATCCATAAACTGCTATGTTCACATCATATTTGGATCCCTCCCTCTCTCTCTCTCTCTCTCTCTCACACACACACACACACACAGAGAGAGAGAGAGAGAGAGAGAGAGAGAGAGAGAGAGATAGAGAACGCTTACCAAATTTAACTCTGGTTCTATCCCAGTCTGCCAAACTCCTTTCAAATCAGGTTTACTAGGTTCTCTCTCACAGACTGCACTCTTTCTCTTCTGTCTCTCTTGAAAGAGTCATAGCTATTTGATAAGTGAACATTATAGTAATGTTTTGACAGGTCAGCATGTTCTCATACTATAGATTTTTAAACACAGAATTAATTAATTGATCTGCCTATAGTACCACGTTTCCTTCTAGTAATTAAGCAGAACTTTAATTTCGTTTAATAACATAATCATTGATTTTCCCCACCTGCCATATTAGGATTAATTTAATCTTTCCATGCTCATTGATTTACAAATTCATCAAGGTATGTTCAATTGTAACTTCTATGGTTCAAATATCCCCCACCCCCGAAATTATTCTCAAATTAAGTGCTACTATATTTCTGAGTCATTCTTACACAGTCTGTATAAGAAAAGGAAAGAAGTTATGTTGGGTATCCAAAGCAATGATACAAAATTAAAATTTAAAGGGAAAGCATTTGCTTAGGATGCAGCATGTCTCTGGCTCAGCTAGCTGCTTCCCAGGCTTACCTGGTGTTAAGTCCCCAACGCCAGCTCAGCTGAAGACCTATGCTCAAGGTAGGACCTCTGAAGATGATCTGCCATTGGAGGCAGATGGATCCAATTGGTTTCCAGACAGCCCTCAGGGATTTTCTGGTGGATGAGTACCTGTTGAAGCCTTGGCCAACTTATGGAATATCTTGATGCCTTGGACCATTGACACGATTGCTCTTGAGCACCCTCTCTCAATTCATGGGAGGAAACAAGCTGGGAGATGTCTGAACACGAGTGGAGGAAGACTCTAATGAATGAAACTGAAAACTGATGATGGCTCATCATCAAGCCTACCTAGTGGCAGTGGAGGCAGCAAAGAAGGCATGCTTTGCTGCGCCCATTGCATCTTTATTGCACCATCCAACAGAACTTTTCCAGGTAGTGTGGGTCCTTTTACAATCTGGCCCGAAGGAGTTGGCAAAACTGATGGCTGCCCACTGTCATTCATTCGTGAAACATTTTGAGGATAAAATTGCTTGCTTCTACTGTGGTCTTGACTCCACTGTTACAGCAGATGACTTTCACTGAGTGTCCAGAGTACTCTCTAATCCTGATGTGTTGGTAGGTATTTGGGTTGGTCAGGGTGACTACTTGTGATCTGGACTCTTGCTTGTCTTGGTTGACAAAAATTAGCAGGAAGGGGACAGCTGCCTGGGCCAGGAAGGAGATTAATGTCTCATTGCAAGAGTGGGTGGTTCCTGCCTGCTTGAAGGAGGCAGTGGTAAGACCACTCCTTAAATTCTCCCTGGATTTGGAAAATCTGAGTAATAATCAGCCAGTTGCCAATCTCCCCTTCTTGGGAAAGGTTCTTGATCAGGTGGTCATAGACCTGATCCAGGGACTCTTGGAGGAAACTGACATTCTAGATCCATTTCAATCAGGGTTTAGGCCCAGTTTTGGCAGAGAAACTGCTTTGGTTGCCAGGGAAGAGATAAGGGGAAAATGCCTCCCTGTTAATTCTCCTTGACCTCTCAGTGACTATGACACCCTTTCTGGAGCAACTGTCTCAGCTGGGGGGGGGGGTGACATCACTTTGTAGGAGTTCTGGTCCTACTTGGATGATAGTTTCCAGAGGATGATGCTGCACCAGTTTAACTTACACGAACTTGCTTTATGCCAGTTTCTTTCGGATAGGATTGCTTCCTTAAGTTGCATTCCTAACAATGTCTGCTCAAAACAAAGTCTTATCAAATTCCATGAGACTTACTCCCAGGAAAGCGGAGTAAGGATTTCTGTCTCACAAATTTACAAGGAGTTTCATGTGATGTGAACAATCATACCTGCAAGAAACATTTTCGAAGTCATCTTTTTTTTATTGCTGAATTATTGCATTCTTTTTCTCTCCCCAGTTCCCGAGCAATAGGGAGTTATAGGGGCTGCCTTTTATACATCCTGTTTCCTTTCAAGAAGATAGCTCTGGAGACTTCCTTCAGATGCCTGTTTGTTCAGAAAGAAACTGAACATAGGGGAGCAGGCAAACAGCTAAGCAGGCAGTACCAGTCCCTAAAGCGGTATCAGTTCCCCAAAGACAAGCAGTGTGCATTAATGCTCCCACCACCCAAGCATGGTGGTTGTTTTTATCCAGCCAGTCAGCTGAACAAGTCAGGCTTCTTTGTTGATGCACTCAGATTTTCTTTCTGCTTCCACTTGAAGTGATGGGATGTCTCCAAAAGCTAGTAACCACCAACCACCCAACGCCATTAAGGTTCATTTAGAGACAATTTCAAGCTTTTGATGCCCATTGAAGAAGGTTGTCCTAATTTGTTGGTCATATTGATAGTATAGTGTGTAGTAAGTAGGGTCCCTCCAGACCCTCCAGACTGGTGGTTTTCTAACAAAAAGCATTTTTTAAAAAACAGAAACACAAAAGAGCTGCCTTTCGGAAATTCCCCGCAGATGTCAATTTCACCTTTGAATTGAAAACAGATGAAACCAATAGGCTAAAAAAAAAAAAAAAGGACTGGAGTTTCTAAAGAGTGGCAGAACATGGGGCACCTAATCTTAAAAGACTGGGGATCAGCACAATGTAAAATCATAATATTTATAACTGTAAAATTAATGTGTTCAAAGTGTTGGTACTGACCTTTAAAGCCCTAAATGGCCTCGGCTCAGTATACCTGAAGGAGCATCTCCACCCCCATCGTTCAGCCTGGACACTGAGGTCCAGCTCCGAGGGCCTTCTGGTGGTTCCCTCACTATGAGAAGTGAGGTTGCAGGGAACCAGGCAGAGGGCCTTCTCGGTAGTGGCACCCACCTTGTGGAATGCCCTCCAAACAGATGTCAAGGAAATAAACAACTACCTGACTTTTAGAAAACAGGAAAGTTTTTTAATATTTGATGCTTTTTGTGTTTTTAATATTCTGTTGGAAGCCACCCAGAGTGGCTGGGGAGGCCTGGCCAGATGGGTGGGGTATAAGTAAGAGATTATTATTATTATTATTATTATTCCCTCCAACATTTCTCTAATGAAAATGGGGACACCCTAAGGAAAAGTGGGACATTGTAGGATCAAATCAGAAACTGGAATGGCTTCAATAAATCCAAGACTATCCCTGGAAAATAGGGACACTTGGAGGGTCTGCTTTTCTTACAGTAGCCCACTAGATGACCATGGGAAAGCTGCAAGTAGGACCTTGAGTAGGACTCTTCTCACCTGAGCTTACCAGCACCTAGCATTCAGCGGAATACTCCATCTGGCAGCAGAGATCTTCTTTGTCACTTTACCTGCCTTCTCCCACCTTTCTGTGACTAATAATAATAATAATAATAATAATAATAATAATAATAATAATAAATTTATTTATATCCCACCCTCCCCAGCCAAGACTGGTCTCAGGGCGGCTAACACCCATTATAAAACAAATTGATTGAAATATAACTTAAAAACAAGATTAAAATACAACAATAATATATAAAAATACAGCCTCATTTCAATGGAAACTCAAATCAAAAACTTTTTGGGGGATGAAAATGTCAAGTCTTCATCCAGGTTAACATACAAAGTTTAGATAGACAACATCCCTACAAGCATAATTGCAACTGACTCACCTGTCTTCTCAGTTTGGCAAGAGGTCTCCCGGCACCCAAACAAGCAACAATGGATTATTTCTGCTGTTACAAGAGGCCAAGCTGAGTACACAACCTTATCCACCAGGAACATATATTTATAAGTGTAAGATTCTACAGAACTGCAGCCAACTGCTGACATATGCTGTTTGAAGCACATTCGGCTAAGCTTTGCCCTTACAAAAGCCCCGCTGAAACAAAGCGGGGAGGCGGCAGTTGCATTGGCTGATTGCACCCTTTGTAACTCTTGAGTGTTTTTTAAACAGCTCCATTAGAATTAGCAGCCGACAAGTGCAAAAGTGGATGCAATGTTTTTGTCCAAGTGCATTTTACAATTACAGACAAACAATTAAGCTGCTTTGAGGGAACTAATCCTACACTTGAGCCCTGTGAGCTTTTGTCCGATGACCACTTAAGCCATATTTCCCTTATCGTTAATGCAAGTGAGCTGCGGCAGCCAAAAAGAATTGATCTGTGGCATCGAAAGGAATACTTTTAATTGAAACAGCAGACATTTAAGATACTGACAAATAGGAAACAAAGCTGGAGGGGGCGGGGGGGAGAGAAACAGGGAGAGGTGCCTTCTTAGCAGAATATTTGTTAGGGTTGGGTAGTGGGCAAAACATTCCTCGCGAATAATGGTCAGATCAAAATGGCGGCCTGTGCATTCACACAAACCCATCTACCCACCCAACAAAACTTTCCATTAGGTTCCCCAGTTTCCGGGAAGGTTAAGGGGTGAGGAAGAATGCCTATAAAACTCCAGGTAACTTCATGTCTTGGCAAGATGCATTCTCTAAAACACTATACAGTGGATGAAAAAGGGGAGCTCTGTTATTCACCCGGTTGCCTGGTCAGAATTGGCCTTCCTCCCTTTCCTCCATCCATCCTTACTCTAGAGCTCTAAATGGGCAGATTGAAACTTAGTTTTCACTGGGATGTCAAGATTCACCAACCAGAGACAGTTGGAAAATGGCATCAGAGGAGATATTCTGTATATTTAGAATGATGAATCAGGATGCCATACCCTCCAACGTTTTTCCAGTGAAAATGGGGATGTCCCAAGGAAAAGCAGGACATACCAGTATCAAATCAGAAGCCAGGAAGGCTTCTGTAAATCTGGGACTGTCCCTGGAAAATAGGGACACTTGGAGGGTCTGGAATGCCTCTGAACACATGCTCAGCCCAGAAGTTTGTTTTCAGGACTAGCAGCCAACTTTGGGAGGTAGTGGGTAGCTGTTTTATGGCTTTTGTTCAACAATTACCATTGCAGATCTACTGCAAATCATCCCAAGAGTCACCAGCAGAACCCAATCGACCTTTTCCCCTATCCTTCTTCTGGAGTGGAAGGAAGGAGGTGGATGGAGGAAGGCTCATAGACAGGTAACTACATGATTTGGTGAAGAAAGAGCTTCTCCATACAGGCTATGGTGTGAATGGACATGAAACCCTCAACTTCTTGAAGCTAAACATCAACATCATAATCATCAACATCAGCAGCAGAAGCATCACCTCATTGTATACCATATTCAAAGTGTCTTACAACATGAAAATATCTACATAATTGTAAACATAGCCACCCTGTTCACTGTTTTATTGAAGAGTCTGTTCAGCTTTTGTAGCAGGTCTGGGCCTGGTCAGTGTCTGGATGGGAGACCATCTACGTAGGAACCACACGAACACTACTTTGAGTTGCAAAATGCAAGAGAGACAGAACGTAGGGGTGACATAAATGCACAAAATGATGCAGTCTCTTGGATAGTTTCTAAAGGAGCCCGCATGGAATTAATGCTGAAATCCCTCATTAAAACAATTGTTCCAGTTCTACAAGTGACTTGTCTACGCAAACACTACTGGAGAAACTTCTCTTTCCCACTTTTGATCAAGGGAAGTTGACATAGCAGTGAAAGTGTTGAGCTTGAAGTACAGTAGTGGGTGCTTAGCTCCCTGCTCAACCATGAAGCTCCCTGGATGGATCTTAGATTCTTTTTATCTTTATCTATGTCTTTTGTTTGCTGCTTTAAGCTTCTTCAAGGAATGGATACAGAGATACTCTTCTTATTGAGGTCATCTCTAGAAAACAGGTATTAACTGTATAGTAGAGCAGGAGCACTGTATGGGAAAGATGATATTATTATTATTATTATTAAACTTTTTATCTCACTCTTCAGCCAAAAAACAAAAAAAGGTTGTTCAGAGGTAAGACAGTCCCTGCCCTCAATTTAAGATAATGTTACAATTAACCTGAGATAACCAGTGGAAATAGGTATTCCTGAAAAGGCACCAAAGTTTAATTCTCCAGTTGCTTTTCATTTGAAAAGGATTATTATGTTTGTTTGCTCTATGAAGACGGAATAATATTTACAATTAATTGGGTGTACAGGATGGAAATAATGCTTGGAAATGCAGTTTTGTTATTGATGGGTATATATTAATGTGTATAATTTGATTTAAAATAATTACCATTTTTTTAAAAAAACCATGATAGAGTTGGGGAATGCCTATGTTTCAAGAAACTCCCAATCACACCGCCCCTGAGCAAGGAATATAGGAGCATTAATGAAAGAACAAACATAAATAAGGGTAGATTACAGAGGTTTTGAAGCAAGAAATTGATTCAGAATCAGGGGAAAGTTCTTTTAATGCATGTTTTGCTGATTTATTATCGCTGTACTTCAGGAGCTTACGAAAAATGCATTTCCATCCATCATCCTCTTTCAAAAGGTTGATGGAAATCAGCCTCTCTGCCAAAGCAAAGAAATACTTGGTATCAGCAGACTCCCCAGACAAAACAATGGGGTGTAAATCTAGTTAGTCGGATCACATGGTTTAAGTCCATTGAGGCAGGCTTTACATCACGGCAATCAATCGCAATCGCTCTCCGTTGGTGTTCAATGGTCATGTAACATTTCCCATTGTAGAGACTCATGATACAGTTAGCATTTATGCTCCAGCCAGCCTCACGTTCCTAGAAGGACTGCATGGTCTATGAGGGGTAAACTGAGAGCAAGGATGGAGGAAAATAAAGTCAGGGTTGTCTATAAAATTAAACCTTAACACCTTCCAAACAGTAACCAAGCATGCTTGGGAATATTGATTTGTATATTTGGAATATTTGCCATGTTTTATTCTTAATATCATTTTTTTTAAGCCAGAGCCAAGAACTACTTTTGAAACAAGAGTGCCCCCTTTAGTGAAAAATATTATTATAATTATTATTCAGGCTTTTTGGTGCATCAATTACAACACTTTTCCCACCCAGCATTCAGTTTTTACTCTCTACCAACATCACAAGATAGTTTCCTTTGGGGATGTGTAAAGGTATAATACTTCCTTATATTAGTGTGTAATATAATCACACGTGTCTACACAGTGAATAAGGTAACATGCTATTAGGGATGTTTGAGAATTCAGACAAAAAATGGAAACAGGAGTGGCAGTTAATGATGCTCACTTATTCATTCAATGTTTGGAATAGAAATCAACCCAGCAGATGCAGCTGGTATTCATTGTTGTTTTCAGTCTGCAAATGATATATAATTGATTACATTTCCTGGTCCATTTGCATTGCGTTTCCTATGCATTGAAATTAATGGAGCGGAATAAAGGGATGACAACATAACTCACGCTAGTTATGCAACTTTGCCACAGGAGACCACAAAATAAATAACAACTAAAGCATCCAAGGCAGATGTCCATCAAACCTCTGCTTGAAAACCTCCAATGATGGAGAGTCCACAACCTCCCAAGGGAGACCATTCCACTATCAAACAGCTCTCACTGTCAGAAAGTGTTTCCTGATGTTTAGTCGGAATCTCCTTTCTTGTAACTTGAAGCCATTGGTTCAAGTCCTACCTTCCAGAGCAGGAGAAAACTAGCTTGTTCTATCTTCCATGTGACAGCCCTTAAGATAATTAAGATGGCTAGCCTATCTCCTCTCAGTCTCCTCTTCTCCAGGCTAAACATACCCGGCTCCTTCAACCATTCCTCATAGGGCTGTCAGCATCCGGGGGTCAAAAGGCCACCTGGCTAGCCCCCAGCTGGATCATCTCCCTCTCAGCCTTCACGCTGATGAGATTCATCAACCTCTGGCTTCGATGTAAATCAGAGACTCAAGCTAGCTGACTTGAGCACACTATATGTAGCAGTGTAAACTGCACAACAGAAGAGGCTGAGGCTGTGGATACATACTAAAACTATGGATTTATTTTACATAAATCAGAACAAAGAAACATATCGTCTCTCCTTGCTGTCTTCTTGGAGTCTCAAAAGAAAAGCAATACACAGAGTGGAAGTTCTCCTCACGGGACCCAGCAATCTGTGCTGGAAAGTAAACAGACATGTGACATGCAACAATCCCATGTCTGCAACAAAAGGTGCAATGGAATAGCCCAACATTGGCTTGATAGACCTCAGACTTTTTGCTTGCTGAGTTGGAGCAGCAAAAGGAGCTGACAGCACCCCAGCATCTAAAGTATTGGAGAGTGATCAAATTACTTTGGCACCTGAGACAGAAAACTCCAAAAGGATTATTGTTGGTGGCAAGCATCATCATCCTTTAAATATCTAACCATGTGCTGCTCTTTCATGACACACAAGATCGGCTCTGCCTTATGTGGCTGTCTCCCTCTGCCTCAAAGTTGCATAATGGCACACAACATCAGTGATAGCACATAAATCTTGTTGGTTGATGTCAGAGAACTGCCATCAGTGCCGGAGGGAGAGAGCAAGATCCAGAGGGATTCCAGAGAGCGTCCCGGGATTGGGAGAGGCAGCCCATCTTCTGGGGAAGAGAATCAGCGTAGCACCAGTGGAGAAGGGGGGCAGATGGGGAAGCGGCGAGGCGGTCCCATGACTCCTTGCCAGGGACCAGCGGGGAGAGTAGGGGTCCTCCGCTGCCTACGCCCTCCTTGCGCAGAAGGCTTTCGCGCAGAGAGAGTAGGAGGAGACTAGGCGTCAAAGAGCTTCTTTGCTGGAAGAAGTTTAAGAAACGCCCATTGACGGATTCTGCCAGCGATTGAGACAGCCACAGGTGAGTGGCTGTCCGGACAGAAAAGGTTCACTCAGGCAACCCAGCCAGGTGTTTGAACCGGCTTACGCACGAGCAACCCCTAGAACCACTACAGTTGAGAAACAGCACACACCGTGCTATGATTACATAATTACAACATCTCACAATTACAGCAATGCCAAGAATGCTATCCCCAGAAGAGACAAGCATGGATGAGAATTTTGGGCAGGCAGTTGAACAAATCTTACCAACCTCAGGCAAGTCAATTTCTGGCAATGGTGAAGGCAAGTCTGAATGTGCATAGGGGTGTCAACAGCTTCTTGAATGCATTAGCATCCCTAATGAAAATGAATTTTGTTTAGGTACAGTGCTAATGGCTCTGACGGCCTAATTGCCACGCACTGACTGCCAGCTATTAATTAATTATTATTATATCCTATAATTTATTTACCCTGGAAAAATGCCACATAAACACAGCATCTGTTTCCCTCTAAGCTCTCGCTTCATTTTACAGCTGAGCAGCAGGAGGATCCATGAAGTTGAGTTGACTTGTCCAAGGTCACGGAGATAGTAATTGACTTTTATTAGAGCCATGGAGGACGGCTGGTTAAGACGTCGACTCTTGGCCTCAAAGATCCTACTTGTTCTCAGCATCTAGCAAATGGAGTCACACAGAGACACAATGTAATTCTGCTTCAAATGTATCTGTTTGCTTCTCCTGGGGAAACTTAGAAGACTAGAGCAAACAGGTAGGGAAAACAATAGGAGGTTCCCCATTATAAGTCCACAGTAAACTCTGTCCTCAAGGTCAGAAAATGATGCAAGGCCAAAGACTTCCCTACCCTCTAAAACAGCAATGTTTCACTTCCTTATCCCCTATGGTTTCTGTGGATCAGATTTTCTCCATTTTAGTCTGTTATCAATACTCTTGTACGCTCTACGCTAACCTACACTAACATTTCATTTGAATAACAGTTTATCCAGATGATTTTCCAAAATTGATAATAGAAAATCAATTCATAATAATAATAACTGAAATGGAGAACACTCAGTTTTCCTTGCCTTTTAACCCCTGCAGTTCCTTTGCATCTGCTGTACCTCCCCTACCATAAAAATGCATAGTTTCTGGGCCCCATTTAAAGTCCTGGTTTTGACCTATAAAGCCTTAAACGGCTCAGGACCGCAATACCTCAAGGACCACCTCTTTCCATATCAGCCTACCCAGACCCTGAGATCATCTTCTGAGGCCCTTCTTTGTGTACCTCCTCCTCGAGAGGTTCAGAGGGTAGCAACACAAGAACAGTCCTTTTTTGCAGTGGCTCCCCATCTGTGGAATGCTCTCCCCAGGGAAGTTCGCCTGGCACCTTCATTATACACCTTTAAGTGCCAGGCAAAAAAATTCCTTTTTAACCAGGCCTTTGGTTGATCTGATTTACATCCTATGCCCTTTTAAAATGTATTTTTTGTGAGGGGGGCTATTGGGTTGTTGTTTTTATTTTTATTAGGTATTTTGTGGTTTTATATCTTGATTTGATTCTGTGAACCACCCTGAGACCCCCGGGTATAGGGCGGTATATAAATCCAATAAATAATAATAATATGCGTGAGGATTCATGTGCACTGATAAGATGCCAATCAGAGTCAGCTAAATAATGATGCCACAGGATGGGAGCTTCTGTGCACTTAGAATTAAAGGCCAGGGTACCTCATAGCACATGCTCAGGCTATAAGTGGTTTCTAGCAATGGGACTCATCTCACAGTCCTTTCACTTGCTAATCCACTCATGGATCCTTGTGAAATGTTATTTATTTCCACAGCCTCTCTTAGGGGTGGGGGAGTCTTGTTCTTATAGCCACAAGCATCCTCCACTGGCTGGTGTACAGTATAATCATTTTCCTCCCTTCTTAGTCTCCTGGGATATCCATATATTATTATTATTATTATTATTATTATTATTATTATTATTATTATTAAAAAATAAAATAAGCAACAGAGATCTAGGTGATTTGGATTGTCAATCTGCCAACAACAACTGAAAGAGCAACTCTGTAGAGTAATTTGCTCCAAGCCCTCCTCAGTTTTAATGTGGCTCGATCTCATCAGCTCCCAGTATCAATGTCTGATCATAGAAACCCTGCCAAATGAGGTGACATAAGAAGGGCACAGCTGAATCAAAAGCTGTGCCACCAGTCACAGTTGGGTTCTGCTCGAGTTTCATTAAAATTTTAATTGGAACCAAACTAGGCCGTCACGGAGCTCATGAGTATTTCCTGTTCATTCTGCCTTAGAATCAGATGTTCAAGGACTGGCAAATTAGCAAAGAGCATGTTTACACTCTGCTCCCCTATTACAAGAAGTGATTATTTGATAAGCAATGAACAGCAGCCAGGAAGGAATGCCAACATTTGTTGACAGCTTCGGTGATGTGTCTCGGTGATTACACCTCATTCTTCTGGGTAAAAAAAGGATCGGCAGCCTTGGGCAATTCTCCTGAAACTGATGTGTGTGACTCGGCAACTGTCCTAAATGTCAAATAAGCCTCCACATTGAAAGGCAGCAAGAATTCCAGAAACCTGTGAATAATAATAATAATAATAATAATAATAATAATGTTTTTTATATGCTGCCCATCTGACTAGGTTGCCTCAGCCACTCTAGGCAGCTGCCAACAGAATATTAAAAACACAATAAAACATCAGACATTAAAATTTTCGCTATACAGGGCTGTCTTCTGATGTCAGATAGTTGTTTATTTCCTTGACATCTGATGGGAGGGCATTCCACAGGGTGGGCAGATGATTGTGACCACATGATTTACTAAGGGCTGGTTCACAAAAGCAGGTATATCACTTTACAGTGAAACCTTGGTTCTCAAACGGCTTAGTTGATGAACAAATTGGCTCCCTAATGCCGAAAACTCCCTAATGCCGAAAACTGGGACACTTACTGGGAAGTAAGTGTCCCAGATTTCAAACGTTTTTCGGAAGCTGAACATCCGACACATCTTCTGCTTGAGAGCAGGAAGCTCCAGCAGCCAATTGGAAGCCACACCTTGGTTTTCGAAAGGCTTCAGGAGTCAAACAGACTTCCACAATGGATTAGGTTTGAGAACCAAGGTTCCACTGTATTTAGGAAGACGAGCATAGGCAATGCCTTATAGTGAATCAGACCATTGGTTCATCCTTCTCGGTTCTGCCTACACTGAGCAGCAGCAGCGTTCTGTGATTTCAAATAGGAAACATCCTTGATGAGGACTGAACCTGGGATTTTCTGCATGCAAAGCAGATGCTGTATCACTGAGCTACAGCTCTGTGCTGGGATTGTTATTGTTGTTTAGTCGTGTCCGACTCTTCGTGACCCCATGGACCAGAGCACGCCAGGCACTTCTGTCTTCCACTGACTCCCACAGTTTAGTCAAACTCATGCTGGTAGCTTCGAGAACGCTATCCAACCATCTCATCCTCTGTCGTCCCCTTCTCCTTGTACCTTCCATCTTTCCCAACATCAGGATCTTTTCCAGTGAGTCTTCTCTTCTCATGAGGTGGCCAAAGTATTGGAGTCTCAGCTTCAGGATCTGTCCTTCCAGTGAGCACTCAGGGCTGATTTCCTTCAGAATGGATCGGTTTGATCTTCTTGCAGTCCATGGGACTCTCAAGTGTCTCTTCCAGCACCATAATTCAAAAGCATCAATTCTTTGGTGATCAGCCTTCTGTGCTGGGATACCGGTAGCCAAAGGTGTGAAATGACTCCATTGTGATGCATCATGTTTGAGTTTATATGGAATTTCAATATGTCCAATTTGATTCATGAAATAAGATACTTTGCACGTCCAATGAAATAAGATACTTTGGGTGGGAAGAGGCCTATTGATTCAAGGAATAGGTGGCACACATGGGAATATAGAGCCAGAGGAAGAATGTAAGAATAGAAGAAATGCAATGGGAAGGAAATAAAGAGAATCATGGCAATAGCTGGGATTAAACATACCAAAACAACTTGATTAACAAAACATAAAACAATAGCTGTTACACGCCCTCCAGTTTTCTTCAGATGAAAAAAGGGACATTTCTCACTGACCAACTGACCCTCCTCTCACACACCCCATTTTTTGCCCTTCCACTGTGTAGAGCATTTCCTATCTGCATAGCTGTCAACGTTTTCCTTTTTTAAGGGAAATTCCCTTTTCCAAATAGGATTCCTCGCAAGAAAAGGGAAAAGTTGGCAGCTATGCCTATCTGCCACCACCACAACACCCATGGGACACAGAACTCATGCCCCCCCCCCCGGTCCTGAGAAAACCCCTTAATCCTGATTTCATTCTTTGGTAGATTTACAAAAAGAAAAACACACGCCAATAAATGAATTTTAGAAATGCGCAAGTTTAGATACGGTCACACAAAGAATTTTGCAAATGATCAAGACCCCTTGCACTCCCTTCTATTCCCCCCGTCCTAGGGTTGCCTTATTTTTTTGGGAACAAACCCAGATTGCTCAGCATTTTGGGGACGCCTCCCACAAAAATAGTGATTTTAAACTTTTGGTGCTGTTTCCGCTGCGTTGCCATGCATCCGGGTTTCCCCTGACATTTTGCCAATTCCCTCCCTCACGTCATTTTTACACCCGAAAACCAGGACAAGTCAGGAATTTTCCTGATGTATGGCAAGCCTACCTTGTCCTCCCACTCAGGGCAGCCCAGCCCTCTGACTGCTCCTCAGAGCTTGTGCACCATGTGGGGCTGGGCCTTGGCGGTGGCAGCCTCTCCTCCTCGTCGCCTACTCTCCAGCAGCTGCTACGAGCTGCTCAAGGGAGGCAATGGAGAGGCAATAGGATGCTCACTCACAGCTGCCACTGCCACAGTCTCCACTTGAGACAAGCTCTGGCTCACCCTTCCTCCTGAGCTCAACAGCAGCAGCAACACTGGCAGGATCAAATCAGATGATGGAATGACTTTCGTAATTCCGGAACTGTCCATTGAAAATTAGGGCACTTGAATCATATGCCATTAACAGATGTGAGCAGAAGTTGGTTAGAACCCTACTTGTGATTCAAAGGCTGGGAATAAGGCCCTCCTGAGATGTCCCCCAGGGGGCGCCACCTGTGCAGAGCAGTGAGCGTCCCAGGGGGCGTCACCTACAGTGAGCATCCCAGGGGGGTAGGGCGGTGATGTCACCCCCTTCAGGGTTGCCACCCAGGGCGGACCGCCACCACCACACCCCCCTTCCTCCGCCAGTGCCCCTGGCACAGCTCATTCACCCAGGATCCACACTTGATCTGTTCACTTTGCAAGGAGAGATGCTTTTGAGCAGGCTTCCTCAACCTCGGCCCTCCAGATGTTTTGAGACTACAATTCCCATCATCCCTGACCACTGGTCTTGCTAGCTAGGGATCATGGGAGTTGTAGGCCAAAAACATCTGGAGGGCCGAGATTGAGGAAGCCTGCTTTGAGGGAGGTTCACCCACTAGAGCTGTCTAAAAAACAGTTGGTTGTTGTACCATACCTCCAGTGCCATAGGCAGCAGTCTCTTCCTCTGAGTGTCCTGCCGTTCCTTATTTCAGCTGAGGTAGTCCTCTGAGAAACCATCTCATGCTCCCCATACTGCTAATGTGGGGTTTTTTTCATCCTCCATCTGTTGCTTCATTTACAAAAGGCCATGATGAAAAATCAACATGAGGAGTTCGCCAGGCAGCCACAGTCAACCGATTATCAAATCACATAAAAACTGCCCAGTAGATAGAGCGCCCTAGGGAATGTGAAAAACATGCCAGCCCATCAGGCCTTCCATTAACAACAACAACAAAACCATTCCCATAAAGAGCTCTAGCTTCCAACTCCAATTTGCCTCTCACTGTTTCTCTGTTAAGACATGGCAGGAACAGGGGCTGTAGAGGTCCTTTCCTGCTTCCTGCTGCAAGTCTTGAAAGCCAGTATAAAACTACATAAGACTTTGGGGGGGGGAATGCAAATAGCCAATGGGGCAATCTTATCTCTAGCCAGGGAACATCAAGGCAGAATGGAGCACCAGGACCACCACCATATCTGAAGCCCTGCAACTTGCAGTGGCTAGAGAAGAGGAGCGAAATGGGCTTTCTCTGTTGTTGAGTCAGCAGTTCAAGGCTGTTGTAGCAGGGAGGCCTGGATCAGCCTCTTATCTGGGGTTCTGTTTGAATTTCAATGAGTAACTACCTAATTTGTACTTTTTGATCAAGTACATGAACCAAAACACAGCCATACTTCTAAACGTGTAGTTCTCCAAATTTTGCAATGCAAATCTCCAACCATACAATGTCTACAAAAATGCATAAATGAGGGCAAAATGTGCAAAAAATGTATGCAGTATATTCATGGAAATAACACACATAAATGCATTATGTTAAGGGAAATGGATTGCAAAAATGTGTATTTTAGTCAAAACAACATATAAAATCCTGGGGAACCCCAGCCAGATGGATGGGTTGTTGTTGTTATTATTATTATTAGAATGCTGATGAATTTTCCTGAGATAGACAGATGACAGATATAATTGCAAGTGGCTGTGGAAATGTGGAAAACTGAATTTAACCCTGGAAAATGAGAAACTGAAATTGACTGATTCACCTATCCCTGCATATGATCCTACAGATCTTTGGTAAGCCCTGTTTTGCCCTACCTCTGATGAAGGTTTGGCCTCATTGAGGGGCAGTATTTCAATATGAGTAGGAAAATTACTAAATTCATGGTTTTTGAAAGGACGACATCTGGTGACAGACACCAACAGCAAGCAGAGGAATTGGGAAGATGTTAGTGTACACAACCTCATGACACAGGGGTTTTGGCAGTTAATTCAGTTGGTTTCTTGTGGGTGGGATGCACAGGAGTCAGAGTGGGTTAGAGACAGAGGGGAGATAGAGAGTGAATTGGATTACAGTGTTTCAAAGTATTTAAAACTTGTTTGTGTTCACAATAAACTGGAATCTTTGTTAATACGTTACAACCTGACTGAGTCTGAATTTGTTACCGGAGAAACCTGGTTGGTGGCAGTGGAAGAGATAAACCGTGGTGGTGCAGGGTCAATAGTCCGTGGAAGGACCGGGGGCCCCATGTGAACGCCATAGGAAGTTTCAAATATGATTGTTAAACAGCTTTCAGTGCAGCTCCGGGACCACCATTTGGGAAGAGTGGGGACAGTTGCCTTGCCTCCTGCATTTCAGATCAAATTTGTTATTCTTCATTAGCCCCAGAGGCATAGTAAGGGGCAGCAGGGGGCCTGTGGCCCTGGGCACACATTTTTTAGTAGATGTAACCAGCTGCCCCCACAACAGGCACAGAGCCTGGCAGCTGATACATGGCAGCGGTTGGGTTGGTCTAGTGGGCAGGTGGATGGAGGTGTCAGGGGTGGGCAGAGGAGGAGGAGTGGTGGAGACCACCACCCCATCTTGTCCCTTCCAGGGAGGAGGAAGAGGAAGACAGTATAGAGCTACATCAGGGGTTTGCTGCAGGTCACATATCAGAGGCAGATGAGGGGGAAATTGGGAAATAATGGAAGAGGAGAAGAAGGCAGGGCTGGAGCAGGAGCTGGCTGACACATTGTCACTAGAAAGCATTCCAGACTCTCCATGTCCCAGAATCTGGCGAGTCTTAAAAGTAGGAGAGTAAAGAGTTCAAAGACTACTTCTTTGTGGAACAGGAATTCAATAATATGAAGCAGCACCCATCATATCCTATGCTGGACCGCAAAGCCATCTTCCTAGCCCCCTCACTTGTCAAGGTTAGATCCTCACCATACTCATCCAGATCATATTCCTTGTTCATTATATTCTCCTTCTTTATCTTTTCAAATACAGAGAAAAAGCTGCTACAGAGTGGAGAAAGGAAATGTGGTTGTATGAATCAGTTACAAAGTCACCCATATAGTTGATTATTTGATGGGTACAGGGTTGTGAATGTATATCTATTGGCCTCAACTTGATGGGGTAAAAACTGGCAAACCAATCTAAAACTTTCCCCCAATAGTAAAAGTTAATATAGTCCCCAAATAAAACTATTCATCACCTGTTATGGAGATCCATCTTGACAGTGCTGAGATGCAGTCTGACTGTTAACTGTTTCTGGCTTTGCCAAGACTTAAAGCATATCCTCTTTGTGACATCACACATGACATCAGAATGGCATGTTTGCATTCAACCTAGACTATCTCCATGCCAACAGCAATGGCCAGTAAACTTCTGCAGCCAAGTAACCATCAGCCTGACTACCCAGTTGTTTCTCTGTAGACTATTGGATGTCTAATTTTTGGTCTCAAAATCAAAGCCTGAATAAGAGCTGTGTATAATCTGAAAACCTGCTTCCACTGTTAAAGAAAACAAATTGTCAGGGACTGGGCAGAGGAGGAGCAGAAGTGGTGGAGACCACCTCCCCACCTGACCCTTCCAGGGAGGAGGAAGAGGAAGACAGCATAGATTTACAACAGGGGACTTAGAGAGGTAGCAGCTCAGAGGCAGATGACGAGGGAAATTGGGAAATCATGGGAGAGGGGGAGCAGGCAGAGCTGGAGCAGCAGCTGGCAGCCACTTGTCACTAGAAAGCATTCCAGACCCTCCATGTCCCAAAATCCGGCGAGCCTTAAAAGTAGGAGAGCAAAGAGCTCGAAGACAGAGGGCACTTAGTGGTACCCATATAATGATTCCTGGTGACTAGCTAGCTTCCCAGCAGTAAGCAGATTCTCGTCAGTTCAAGATAGTTTTTATTACACAAACAAACATCCTGAGTGGAGCTTTACACTCCTCTCAGCAACAATAGATGCGCTAACCTGAATTTGATTTCCGCTTCCAACAGGATCTATGCCAGAACCTCGTATGTCTGCCTCTTCCCTTTCGCTCGTCTTCAAGGCATTCCCAATGCTGTGTTCGAGGGCTGAGAGTATGACTTGTCTCTTCTCCACTGTCAGTGGACAGAGTCTCTCTCCAATCTGTTGGCAGCCTAGCCTCTCGTTGGCTGTTTTCCAACCCTCCCTCTTCATCTGAACTAGGAGCGTGAAGAGAGGGCTGCGGGGTATCAGTTTTGGAAACCAGCCCTCATCAGAATCATCAGCCTGTGAACTGCTAGCTCTGAAGTTTAACCCTTATGTCTCCTCAGGAAAGCCAGCCTCTTGTTCACTTTCAGAGGCTAACCCTTCTGCTGGGTCATGGGGGGCCATGTTCCTGATAACCCATAGAGGAAATGATGATAATGACGAATGAGGAAGTGGGGGAGATGGTGGGGGTGGAGATTCACTCTGGACAATGCCATTATCCAAGAGGCTGGGTTCTATAGCCTCTATATGGAAAGTCTGAAATAAAAAAGGAATGTAAGAAACTTTCTACTTTCCTGGATGTAATAAATATAGGGGTTGCTCATGCGTAAGTTGTCGCCACTCCTGGCTAGGTTGCCTTGTTAAACCTTTTCTGCCTGGACAGCCCTTCACTTCATGGCTGTTCAGTCGCTAGCAGAATCCGTCAGTGGGCGTTTCTTAAACCTTTTCCAGCATAAAAGCTGTTTGACCCCAAGTCTCCTCCTACTCTCCCTGCGCGGAAGTCTTCTGCGCAGGGAGGGTGTGGGTAGCGGAGGACCTGTGCTCTCCTCACTGGTCTCCGGCGAGGAGTCCTGGAGCCCCCTCGCCGATTCCCCCATCTGCCCCCCTTTATCCCTGGTGTTACGCTGATTTCCTTCCCCAGCTGGTGAGCTGCCTCTCTCTCTGCTGGGCCCTTCTCCAGCATCGCTTGAGAGCCTAGCCTCCGCCTCTGGCTCCGATGTCAGTTCCCTGACACTGGACAACCAACCAGGAGCCACTGACAACATCCTGACAGGAGGCAGCCAGCGAGGAGCCTATTGGAGGCAGGCTTCATTCACCCTTCATGTAGACTCTGTGCATGTCCCCTGGTGTGTGCCCTCACCCCAGCTGCCCAATCCACCAGAGGGCATAACACTTGTCCTGCCCTGGACACCAGTAACTCATGCTACGCCACTGATCAGCCCTATTTGGATCGTCTCCTTGCATAATTTAAACATGTGAAGAAGGTGTAAACTGGACTTCAGCAGTGTCCCCTCATCGTTATCACCTTATCCATATTCAGCATGCCATCTGCAAAGGGGCCTCTAATCTGCACACTACAGACGTACTTCCCACACAGCTAGATACCTAGGCAATCCTTGATGACACATAGGTTTCAGAAACTTGGGCCAAGATATATGGCACACATGTTAATTTCTATATTAGCTGAGGTAATTCTATGAATGATAACTGATACTGAAAAGTCGTGCGCATTTCAGTTACCAAACTTTAATATAATGTAGTATTATTGAAAGAAGGGTGTGGGTGGGTGAGAGACTAAGGGAAAGGAAAAGAATTACAGTTCCAAAAGAAAACAAAAAACCCTCCTGTCATTATATTTTATCCTAATAAATTTCTGGCTAAACTTTTTCTTTTTATCGTCTCCGTTAATTTGCTTCTTGCACTGTTGAGTTCTATCGCATGCCGAGTGCCGTTCCAAATATCTATTGCATTACCCTAATGTTTCCTAGGGATTATGACTCATCTTTAGTAAAAGCTGTTGCAGGCAAAAATGATGAAGAGATGAAATCAACAATTCTAATAATATATTTTTAAAAATTCCTAGCAGGAGCTTTTTTTTTTTTTCCTGCAGAAAAGTAAATCTAAAATTTCTTCCTTTTTAACCCTTCATCATACATTTTTATGGAAGGGTTGTGTGGAAGCTTGAGAGACTGAAGTCTCAAAATTCTTTTTCCTTCCTCAAACTCCGCGAGGAGAACTTTGTGCTGGTAAGAGATAGACCATCCCACTGCCCAATTAACAGCAGTCTATGCTAATGATTTTTATTACAGCTGTGGACAGCCTCCCTGCCCTGTGATCTTGATGAAGGACCCTTATCCAAAGCTGAACCAGGGATTACCCACCCTACCCTATATCTGAATTACTTTTTTTTAAGGAAACTGATCTAATGAGTCTGGATAGCTCAGTTGCTTAGAGTGTGCTGCTGATAATGCCAAGGTTGCAGGTTTGATCCCCGTATGTGACAGCTACCTATTCCTGCATTTCAAGGGGTTGGACAGGGTGGCCAACTCTGAAGAGACTGTGATCTATTTCCAGAAATAAAATCTGGCAGTGATCTACCCCCCTTTTTAAGGGGTTCAGCTCTAAATTGTTGATGAGCTTGGGGGGGGAGAAAGCCCCCCCCCTTTTAGGGGTTCAGCTCAAAGTTGAACTTTTTTGGAAGGAGGAAAGCCCCATTTTGGGGGTGTTAAGGTACAGGAGGGGAGTTCCACTTTTTTGGGGGGGAGGCAAGGAAAGTTGGGGTTAAGTCACTCACAAACACATCGCTATGGATGAAAACAGCCACACAGAGGAAGCTCCATCTTCCCTTCCTGAGTTCAAACAACAATGGAGGGTGGGACGAGGGGGAGGGGCAGGAGTCAGATTTACAGATGCAGAGGAAAGGGAGCCAGAGATCAACCGCAATCTAGCAAAACATCGTAGGGATCTACTGTACCAGTAGATCGCGATCGACCTGTTGGATATCCCTGGACTAGAAGATACTCAGTGTTGGGATACTGCCAGGGAGATAAAGTCCATCATGGCCCCCAAGCTGTCTGCCGGACGATCCATCTACCTCCCGTAGGCACTCAGCGACATGAGTTTCTAGAAAATATCTTGTCCACATTCCAGAGCTCATGCACGCTCTATCAGCAGATAACACACAGCATGAAGTTGCACCCAGGAGAGCATTATTTACAAGTTTATTCAGCGTTGATCAGAACACAGAAAAACATGACCGACTGCTTTAGTGTCTGCGACACCAGAGAGAAAACGAAAGCAACAGAAAACATAAACATCCTGTGAACAGGAAATACGCAGACTCTGACTCACAAAGCCTGCTCCCTTTTAAGGTGGAACGGAAATATCCTAACATCCTCCCCTTTCCGTGTAACCTGTAGTACCTGTGGTTCAACCCAATTGCAACCTTTGTACATAAACCTTAAGTTGTTCTCTGTTAACAACCTTAGACAACAGATCAGCAGGAATTTCATTTCCTGGCATGTAGGACACCTGAATGAGTCCTTTCTGAATACACTCCCTTGCACGATGTAGCTTAATCTGCAAGTACTTGGTCCTTTGCTTGCAACTCTCTGAGTTCAGCAAAGCCAAACACGATCTATTGTCTTGATACACTTGTACAGGACATTTCACAGAAACTCTGATGTCCTTAAACAGTTGCATCAACCATTCACAATCCATGAGTGAAAATGACAGAGCATTGAGTTCTGCTTCACAGGAACTTAGGCTCACTGTCGTCTGCTTTTTGCACAACCAGTCAAACAGACAGTGGTTGTACATGTAGCATACTCCAGAAGTGCTCGTACCATCCGTGGTATCACTTCCAAAACTTGCATCTGCAAAGATTTCAAGACCTCCAGTCTTCTGACTGGTGAACCTCAGCCTGTAGTGCATAGTCCCTTTCAGATAGCGGGCTATGCGCTTCAGAGCTTTCCAATCCTGAATGGTAGGATTGTTAGCATGTCTGCTAAGCAGGTTACAGCTTACAGCTATGTCAGGTCTTGAGCATCTAGCAATGAAATTCAACTTGCCTAGAATGCATCTGTACAGCGTAATGTCAGAAAACGCTTCAGCAGTACTGTCTACCTGGTAACCTGTCACCATCGGTGTGTCTGCTGGGTTTGCATCAACCAAATTCAACCTGGTTAATACATCAGCAATTTTCTGTGTTTGGTGTACCAGAAAATTACCTGCTTGGTCCCTCTGCACCTGCAGAGAAAGATAGTTGGATACCTCACCAAGATCCTTCATGTCAAAGTGCTCCTTCAGCTGAGCTAGGGTGCTTTGGTACAAAGCCTGATTCTTCCAAAACATCAGAAGATCATCAACAAAACATAAACAATACAGTTTGTTTTGCCCCTCCTCCTTGACAAACACACATGGATCAGCTTTGCCCTGGTGAAAACCTAGAGAAAGCAACGTCTCAGTGAGTTTCGTGTTCCAACACCTGGCACTCTG